AAGGGGACCCTAAATCCTAACCCCAGGGTTCAGGGTTTGGGGGTTTAGGCTTTCTGGGGTTGGGATTTAGGGTTAAGGTACTCTGAGCCCTGCACCACTCTTGGCCCGTTGACCGTGCACCAAACTCCGGCGTCTCCTTCATCCTTACCTGCTCCTGTCCACAATAAAACGGCCTAGAATCGACGCAGAAAGTAGAAAATGCGTTGGGTTGTACAGATTCAGGTTGGCAACGTCTGCAGCCCCATGTCATTTGAGTCTGCATATGTCCATCCTGCTCCCCTACAGTATATCTACACATACACTACTTCTTGTCCAAATGGTCAACACAGCCTACCATACCAGGAACCTTGTCGTCAAAGTCCCGCCACAAAAATACTCCAGTCACCCCATCACAGACAGCCGGGTTCTTGCGGCATGTCTCGAATCACTGGATTCTTACATCCCATGTAGCCCTGCATGCGAGGTAGGCAAACTGAGATAACACAAAACTTCAACAATGTAGTCAAGCACAACATGAGGACACGAAAATAAGCAACTGCAACAATCGCACACTGTCACGATTGCACCTCGATCGGGGCGACATTCCCCGAATATGAGGATGCTTGCGACAACTATCCATAACTTCCATGAAGCCCCCTGGGCCTCTTTCAGCTCGGAAAAAACTAACACCCTTAACTCCTAGCTCCTAAGCCCTCAAGTCCTAAACCCTACCCTAAACGATAAGCTCCAGAACTCTCAACTCCTGAACTCGTGACACCGTAAAGCCTCTAAACCCCAAAATCCTAAGCTCCGAAACAATTGAAGGTTCAGGGTTCGTATGCTCACTGCTTATAACTCCACTTATTACCCACTTCCAACGAAAAAGAAAAAAAACTGATTTGCACTCTTTCAGCTCCTGAACGTGGCTCTGAGTGGAGCACGACCTTGGCATCGGGGCCAGAATTTTCTGTGGAGCAATACACAGGGAAGCCACAATCTCCCTTAAGGGCGTAGGGTTTAGGGTCAAAGCATATTATAGAAGCTAGATAAGGACACCTAGGCTTCAGGATTCGGATTTGGGATCTAGGGCTTGCGAAAGCTGTGGGTCCCTTGATCTTGGAGCTTTTAGATGGGCCTCTGTTTTTATGAACCCATTATGGGCTGCTCACAGTCACTGCTTGCCCGATTTGCATGTCCCGCAGCACAGGCTATGTTGGGCAAATGCAAAATGGGACCGCAATCTTAAAGGGACCCCGTTTAAGCCTTAGGGTTGTCTGAATAAAGTAGTCATCGCTTCCTGACTGCACAAGGTACTCCAACATGTCGCCCATCAAGTTTGGAAAACCTCATGGGTTACATTGAAGGCAAAGTGGATGTAGCAGCATGCACTCTACACGGAAGTGTATATATATATAACGTATATAAGAGCGACAGGAAATCCAGGGGATAATCCACGCGATTTCGACCGTTGGATTACCATCCGAGGTTTTTAGATCCTTGAAACTGCACTTTGACCTTGTGAGGTGATCCTGAACGCTTTGTGACCTTATGAATGGAATGACTTTCTCAATGCTGTCAAGTTGAAGTTGGACTGAAGTGCCTGCTGAGCACCCAAACACCCTAAAAGGGCGTGAATCCACGACAGTTCGAAGATAATCAAACGCATCAAGCACCAGGAAGACACTATGTGTTGCACAACCAGACTTGCACTTCCTTCTAGCCCGCAGAAGTAGTTCATGCGGATGGTGCAACACAGGCTCGAACTAGATTATGGTTTAACCATCTCATAACTGCAAGAGGAGATTGGTAGTTGTTCAAGCTCCTACAGTCGGGCCCATGCCTTGAAACTTCATCAAATTGACGGTCTCTCAAAGAGGTACGCCCTATAGGGGAGCATGAGGAGAACGACTACCCAATGGACCGCTCTGAACCTAATCAGAAAGAGTGGACTCCCGCTTTGGGAAACTATCAGCCAACCTCTTTCTATCTGCATTCAGCCTACCTCCCCCCACAACGTTACAACATAGCCACAATGTGATGCAGTTCTACCTCCCTCCTGCAAACCCAACATCTGAGGCACAGAATACCTGGTGCCTCCTATCCATGACTACCATTTTTGGGGGTCTGGTCACGTCTCAGCCCTGGCGTGTTCCAGGCACCAAGCCGATGAGACACGATCCAGGTGGATGAACTTGGACCTGGAATCGAGGGGTCAGGGGTCATAATCAAAGGAAGGGTGTTGCAGGGATGGCTGCTACCACTGCAGGCATAGCATCACCCTAACACCATTACCACCATGCTGAACCTGCCGCTGCACAGCGGTACGCACGTAGCTACTGTCACTTGGCTACTGCCACTCCCTTTGCCATTGCGGCTCCCACTCCTAACATTACCACGGATACGGTGACTGAATTTGTTCCTAGAACAACCCTGCCTGTAGCAACCTTCCTCTCGCACTGACCAGCCCATATTCACATCACTGCGGCTGCGGCCAATCTGTCTTGTTCAGCAGCATGCTCTCTGCAGCCTCATGGTCTGCAAAGAACCTGAGGCTTGCAGGCTTTCAAAGGCACCGCATTGAATCAGCGCATGTTCACACGGGTAAAGGTTTGAGAGCGTCAGTAGCTGGCTGCCTTGGCTGCGAGACATTCCTTCAGGACTTTGACGATTAAGACGTGGAATCGCTCTAGGCTTTGAACTGCACGATTACCACAGCTAAAGCCTGGCTGATACAGCAATGCAGGTCCTGAGTTTTTGAACCCTGGGCCTGGCTTCAACAAATTGTGGTTGGGACTGGAAGGATGAGGCCTGAGCAGTGAATGAAAATTCAGTTGTCGCATGAACTCTCCTCCATCCTTGTTCCTCGGGCCTGATGTATATACTGTAACTACCTCCACTGAGAACTGAGAAAGTCACGTAACTAAGGCTTTGACTTGTGCTAACGTTGTCGTTTAGACTTACTGGTAGCACTGAAAATGCCTCAACGAAGCTATACCGCCAAGCCAACAGCCAAGTGTGAAACGCATTGCCGTTGGTTTGGATAGCTCTGACACATTCATTTGTGAGAAAACCCTGGCACATTCTAAAGGCTCGCCTTTTTTTATTTCCTTGGAGACATACCAGAACGCAAATTTTCATGAACACCAGGGTTTGGCTTCCCACAGTGCATCTCCTTCTGGACGTTTCGAAGGAGATCGGGAACAGGTGTGAGATGTTCTCATGTAAGAAGTGTGTTTTCGTAGCATGGCTGCAGCTGCTTCTTTCGTACCTGAATTCATACCTCAAAATGCCAACAGCAGCAAAACCCCAGCAAAGACCATGAAGCTTCTTGCTTCCGCCCAGGAACAATGCGGACAGGTTGTCCGAAGCGTACACCAGAACCTGAGTCCGCGCCTTTTACAAGGTAACCCCTGCAGGGGGTAGTTCCCATAATCTCCTATCAAGGTGACCACCTTGGGCATGATGAAAATACGCCCAGGCTCCCTTTTTAAGGGTTCCAGCAGCCTTAGCCCCTTGAGGTACCATGCCCAAACACAATGCCCAGTGGGATCAAGGTTTGAGGCTCAAGGTTACCGACCATGGACCCAACTCCTCCAGAGTCCCCTGGCGGCACGCACCAAACTGCGGGCAAAGGCAGAAAGGGACCGCTCCAGGTAACTCCATACATGTATTAGCTACATTCCGACAACCCGGCCAAGATCTTTGATGCCATTTCTTGTCCTGGTTCAGTGGGACTGGAGTCTAGGGTGCTTGGGGCTGTTTTTACTCTGCTGCTGCCCTTCTTTGCTGCAGCCTAGGCGGATGCATGCATTCTTCACTACCCCTTTTGCAGCAAACAAGATGCACCTTGACCCCGAGCCCTCTGCTCAAAGGAAACCGGTATTACAACAAGAACTGACAAAGCATCTTTTCTAGGGAAAGGCCCCGGACAATCACGAGGGGAAGATCCCAGCTTCGCATGCCATATACCCTCATACTTGTAGGCATTTCGGGCCTTAGGGAATTTAGCCCAATGTCTACGTAGACTTCCAGTTTTAGGTCTGGGGATGCATGATGGTGTAGGGTTTCAGTCCTGGCCAACATGGGTATGCCTCACGCAACACTTACAAAGTCTGTTTGGGAGGTATCTACTTCCAAGGCAAATCTCCATCTAACCACCTTTGGTCTTCCGACACAATTCCTCGGAAACTTCTGCGAAGGGGGGTTCCATGAATGTGTGGTCCCGATTATAAGGGCTCCCGAAATGGGGCACTTGATTTATGCACGAAACCATGCTAAAATGAGAATCCTGGAGGAAGCACAGACCTGACTGATGGTACTGGGACACGGGCCCGCTGAAGAGCCATGTTTCCATCTTGGAGTGCTGAGTATCCCGGCCTGGGTGCAAACAGTTGTCATGGTGGTCCATGCTGTTACTTCTTTTCAACAACTGCCAGTAGCCACACCGCTGAAAGAGACCAACATCCACCAACAGCGCTCGTGTGAAATTGGAACCTAGAACGTGCCCATCCCCACCCCGAATATTTGGAGGGCAACAGCCAACAACAGACAAAGGCCGCAAGCACCCGTCAGCTGAAAAGCCTGAGGCCCATGTTACTGCTGTTGGCGTTCTGGTTCCTTCCACAGTGAATTCTATGCCACTACTCGGAAATTTGCTTCTACCTTCAGGATCTTCGCATAACAAAACCATACTGGTACACTGGTACAATCAGGAAGCACTGCATGAAAACGTCATTCAGTTTTCCCTGCTGTGCACACAGGCATTTCCGTTGTAGTCCACACTGTCTACACTGATTAAGGCTTAATGGCATGATAAGTCAAACAAAAATGGAGTCCTGACGATCCAAGTGAGAAGACGCGTAAAGGTCCGAATGAAAGTAACCGATACAATAAACAGACATGCCTTGCCTTGCTCTGAGACCCCTGAGGCAGTGGCGATGTGGAGCGCAAAACATTCTTGTCTTTGTTCCACTTCTCAAAGGCTTGGTTCAGCTCTAGCCAGGCCTGCACCGGCAGACATTTCAGGCCATCTCAGATCCTCAGGAAGTGATGTGAAGGCAGGTGTCGTGCTTAAGACCAACTCAGTCTCTACAAGTGAAAGGCCGGATAAGACGACATCACGGAGTATTTGAACGGATGTGCATGGTGTAGGGAGGTGCTGCACGAGACTTCAGAACCAATGGGGATTGATCTAAACACGCACACAGCCACAAGCGCGATCTGGGCTCCGACTGGCAACCCTACCAGACTGACATCCCTACCAAAACCTAAAGCAACCGCATGCCAGGAGAGAGAAATGAACCATTTCCACGTGGTTCCCCTTACTACACCTACGATGACAGCACTCTTTCATGCAGCCCATCACCACCACTAGGACCACAAGTGGGATGGCCAACGGCGCAGTATCTATCCAAACAATCCTCATATGCTTATTGGGGACGGCCGCCTATGATCTCCTTATCATCGCATAAAACCTGCCTGCGTCCCTAAAGCCTCAATGTGGGAAGCTTGTCAGAATTGCGGAATCCATTTGGGTACGCCGAATATTTTTCTTCCGTAATAGAAAGGAGACTGAGATAGGCACGACAACCTACCGATTTCTACATTATAAAGCAGATACAGCCTTAGATTACATTTCATTCTCCATGCTCTTTTTCATTTGATTCGCCATTATACCAAACCCTCTCACATGACATCTATTATATCATCAGCCCCTAAGCCCGCAAAACCCTAAGTATCCCCATGAAGCCCCTATGGCTCCCTTGGGTAAGATCCTAAACCCCAAACCCAAAAAACTGCCTTGTCTTCCTTGTTGTTGTTGGAATTGGTGGTGGCGTTGGAATCTGCCGGAGGTTCTGTTTCCTTCTTCCGGTCAGCCTCGAGCTTGGCTTTTGGCTTGGCGGGGCGCAGATGATGGGCCCAGGATTCGGTTTTGGGCATAGGGTTTGGGGCTTAGGGTTCAGGAGTCTCAATAGGACACCGAAGAAACTCAGCAACTCGAAAAAAACTCCAAATAGGAGCTCGCGTATCACTACGGTGTCAGCAGGATGTTGGAAGCCAGGACAAGGACTTGACTAAGGCAGACGCCCCAAATTTGGGACACCGTAGACCCAACCAGACTTGGAGTTTCTGTGCCAATGGATTCTATGAATCAGGACTTGTACAAAGGTTGGGGCGGCTGCAAAAACAAGGTACAGGCCTTTTCAACACCACGACAGTCAAAGCTACCTGGCTCACAATCTAAGCCCTCTAGACCCTGAATCCGAAATCCTGCAAAGGGATGGTATGCAGTGCTCTTGTTCTGGAAAGAGCCAGCGACTTCTCGATGGCGGTGTTCTTATATAGTGGGCCCTTGGTTCGTGTCCTGATGATGAGGTCTCAAAATCGCTAGAGAAAAAGGCAGCCCTTCTTTCATACAGTTTTCCCTTGTTATGGCCTGGCTGACATGTCTGTTCCAGACAGTGCTTGCAGATCATCACATGAAAAGTGTGAGTGCTAGGGGGCTTCATGAAGAACAAGCTCCGACAACCCCTTGGGATTCCCGAAGCCTTTGACGGTGTAGCGGCCTAACAAACTACCATTATCATATTGAAGTCTGTTTGGCGTAACCCATGCCACAGTCGCACAAGGAATCTAGAACCCCAATGTTGCCAATTCTTATGGCTTCTACCTTAGCTTGTTGAATTTAACTGCTGCTTTGGGCTTTCGGATTTGGCGCATGGTAAAATCAAAGTGCTGTTTGCGGTACCTGAGACTTAGGAATCTTGGCGCTTGATTCCCATTCAGAAGCCAAATTCCTGCACATTGTGACCATTTGGCTACAATAAAATTCGTCCGCTCCTCAGGAGAAGGTGCAGCGAACAAAAACCCACCCCCGCAGCACTCCCTATCTAACCACGAATAATATGGTAGTTTCCACGCTCTAGTCCGTACTCTCATTCCCTACTAACTAACCACCAGCCAGAAACCCTAGACCTATACGTCCTTTCCATGTCATTTCCATCCTGGAAACCCCAAACCGTAAACGTTAGACCGGACCTAGATCATATACCAGCTTCCGATTTGTTTCCTATGCCCCATAGATCCCAACACAATCCCAATATCAAGGGCCGGGCGTTCACCTTGAGGCTCAGGGTTGCAACATCGTCTGCAGAGACCTGGGGAAACCCCCTGCAGACACAGGACTAAAGAAGGTTGCAAAACCAGCCGCATTCGAGGAGCTTCGAAGCAAATCTCTCTGGGTCACTTGGGACCCAGATTTAAAAACCTAAACCCTCAACCCTGAGCCGTAGACCCTGCACCCCTGGACCACCGACCCTGAGGCTTCATAAACACCTAACCCTGAAGCTCCCATCTTGTCAAGAAAGCTAAACCATAAGCCTTACTTAAACCCCAAATCCCAAAAACCCTACACCTGTAACCCCGGACGGTTGGGATCCTGACCCTTACAGTCCTACAACCCAAAACTAAAAACCTGACACCATCATCTTGCTGATTCTTCGTAGGGAATAAGGGAATATAGTATGTAGGGATCATGTCCCCCTATTCCCTACTGATAACCAGTTCAGTAATCCTCTTAATCACTAAGCCCTACTCCCAGTATGCGAAAGGGCCCCGGCAGTTTGCATGGAGCAGTCCACTACTTGGCCCACTTTGGCCTGCTGCACCTGGCTCTTAGGTTTTAGGATTTAGGGTTAAGGGTTAGGGATTTAGGGCTTAGGGGTTGAGAGTGAAGTTAGGGATTTAAGGTTTCGGGGTTTTGGATCCAGGTTGTGGGGTTCAGGGTTCAGTGGGGGAATGGGCTCCTTTAGTTTCCACTCCTTTTATTTGCTCCATCCTTGTTTTACATGCTGAGAGCTTTCGGGGTTTGAGGACTAGAAGGGTTTGTACATGGTGCAGAATAATTGTAGCGGCTCGGGGCTGTTAAAAAAAAAAAAAAACGACCCACAAGGGCATCTTACACCCTCATGAAATAAGTCAACAACAATCTTTGAAACGGCTAATATGAGGGGACTCTCTATGACTATCAACTCTTTATCTAATTGTTGCGGCGTGGGGGAAATAGTCAATAAGTAAACTATTTCGCAAGCCCGCCGCTCGGCGCCATCTTCATCATCTGGGAGGTCAGGGGGTAGGTGCGATCGAAGATCATGTCTTCGCGGTAGCTCCGGAACCTGCACTGTACATGGGCTTGGGACTTGGGGGATTTTCAAAACTAGGGCGCGCCAATGGATTCTGGGGATGTATAAGGATTATAGGGCTCCTCTCAAGATGACATAGATTAAAAGAGTCCCGGATATGGTCTGCATGATATGGCTCACTTTCCGGCAGCGGACCTTTCAGAAGTCTGGAAAGGACTAAACAATAGGAAGAAGTAACCCTAAACCCTCAACACCAAACCCCAAACGCTAAGCCCGTGTTGCTGTTGATTTATATGTGGAAACTAAGGGATGATTCTGGTTCTTAAGGAGATTGGGGTAGCGGAATAATTCCCACGCAATCCCATATACTAGTACGTTAGTAGGGTTGCTAGTTGCACAGCTTTGTCAGAAAGAGTCATAGGCTCTTTCTCTCGAAACCTCCGGGCCTTTCCAACTGTGGCAGCAAGAAACAATGAGGTTAAGCACTTACAAGAGCGACTGCCCTAGACCCAAGACTCAACGTGCGGATGTATTGATGTGTTCAAACAGGGTCCTGATTTTGGAAGCCCCCTAAACAATATTCTTTTTCTGATTCTATGCTGGGGCACCCTTATTGATGGAAACCCCATGTTGGAATCTGCCCAAACCCGCAGGAATTCACTCAGTGCCTCTGTTGGATGCGCGTGATCACACCCTCCCGGACCTGACAGGACACGCTGTAAGGATCCCAAGTGTCTGCTAAACAGTAGCAGTAGTAGTAGTAGTAGTAGTACTACTACTACTACTACTAGCATTAGTAGTTGTAGTAGTTGCGGTAGTAGTAATAGTAGTAGTAGTAGTAGTAGCAGTAGTAGTAGTAGTAGCAGTAGTAGTAGTAGTTGTAGTAGTAGTAGTAGGAGGAGGAGGAAAACAATAAAGATAGCAACAAAGCGAAAACAGGTGTTGTAGAATCAGTATAGTCCTCATCTGCTCCGAAGCTCTCCCTACCCTTTGACTGCCTTGAAACTGTAAACAAACCACGCGTCCAGCCAACTTGATCGAAGAGAGCTTTTGCAAAGAAATGCCAGAGTGCGAGGTGATAGTGAAATAGTATAGGCCTCACGCAAGGCCAAGCTGTCGAGCATACGATCTCTTCCAATCCGCTCTTCATTTGCAAATTTAACTTTGACTGTCCCAGTCAGAGGCACCTTCTCATCGCGTGTGTTTGCAATCAAGAAGGGGCCCAGACATGTGAGAACAAAATCCATACCTGCCACAGTCAAAAAATCTTACCACAACCTGCAGTGCAAATTACCTGAACAATACATATAATATGGCTATGTCTACAACAAATGCGGTCATCAACGGCGTGCCTCCACTTGAACAAAAAGAACACTAGTGAACGCAGCAAGTCGGACCAAAGAGAGGCAAAAGGAGCAGATGAAAGCCAGCCAAGGTGCATCATCAATCTCTTTGGCTTTCTGCTTGCCCAACTTTGTGAGTTTCTCGGACATGAAGCGCGCAGCCCAGATTTGCTGATCTTTGCGCTTCTGATGCTCTTCCATTTTTTTCCTGGCAGGATTCAGGCATTAGCAAATTAGGGTTAAGGCCTTGGGTTGAAAACACACCAGAATTAGGATTCCAGACTTTGCCAAATACCCCGCCGAGGAAAGACATGAGCTTCGTGCACCGCAGCTCTCCCAAACTTCCCCACCCCAAACTCTGTGCCTGGTATCCGAAACCTTCAAACCTAATCACTCTCTCCCAAACTGCCACGGAACCTTATAGAGCCACTTTTCAAGAGGACAAGCCCTCTTGATATTTCCTACAGCATGAGTTTGGGGGAGGAGCGCGGAGGCCGCAGTCCTGTAAACCAGTTTGAACTTCATCCAGCCACGGCTGATGTCAACCTGCAGGGCCAGGAGGGTTCAGACTAAAGGGCTTAGGCTGCCCTATAGTCAGGAAGTGTATAGAAAAATAGCACCGAAAGACATATAATGAATACAAAAGGCAGTTGATGGGGGACATGGAAGCGTGTGCAGTTTATGGCGCTACTGCCTCCAACCTTTCCCTGCATCACTGAGATAACCTTCAAAAAAGGATTGCTCGCCGCATGGAGCTAACTAGTGGTTCCTACAAGGCTTGCAACATAAGACTCCTTTAAGCATTCATGATCTCTGCCACAGAAGCAGATGAAGAGTGCTTCTTGCTGCTACGAAATAGCATCATGCTTGGAAAGACTGCGGCTCATCAGTCGCCCTTGAGAAAAAAGAGTAAGCCCAAGCACCGATGCCGGAGGCTTTAAAACAGTAAAAAAGGATGTCATTTGGTCCTGAAAGGATTTCAGGCATCTTGGATGTTGTCTCTCGGAGCCGTTGTCGAAACAAATGATGTAGGGGCCTAAAGAATTGAACAGGGTTTTGGGACACATTCTACAAAACTTGTAGAAGGATGTAAAGAGTTGATATTGGCATTTATTCAGGCCTTCTTGTTGCCCCGATTCACGACCCTGAGGCAGCACAAAATCAAGGCCTTCATCAGCCTCATGGCCATATTCTTCACCAAGGCCTTCGTCTTGGCATATTCACCTGAGGAACAGAGGCTTTCACGATCTTAACAAGACTTTATCTAGCCTCTGTAGCGAACCCTGCCAGGTTTTGAAGGACATCATAGTTTGGATGGAATGGAGAGATCCTCAAGGATATCAATGAACTGACCATGGTCTATTTTGAGGCTCCTACTACCGCAGAGCCTGCTTGGAGGCATCACTTGAGCCGCAGGGAGGGACCTTCCTTTGCGCCCAGGCCAAAAGACATTCAACATTATCCGTTCTCCTCGCCAATATTGGCTTGAGGGCCCTGCTTACCCATCATCAATCCGCAGAGTCAGTGATCCCAACGATACACAACAAAACCAAATCACGAAGCCCAAAAAACCGCAACTCGGACCCGTGCATATTCCCCCTCCTGCGGTTGCTGAGTCCTGGTATGAATAACAAGCACAACCCAAGAGTTGTGGTCTAAGAGATAACGCTACTAAAGCACCACTATCATGACATGTTTCATGAATCACGTTATCATTGATCTCCTTTCTGGCAGAGAACAAGACGAGAGATGTTCCAATACGGCTGATTCTTACCTTTCTGCTACTTCCAATCCTTCTACAATGCCTCATGCTGCTACTGGTGCTGATGCCATAGCTATCCCTCCACCTCCCACCCTCTACGAAAACTTTTGGTACTGCTACTACTTCTTCTTGAATCTCGAACCACCAGCACCACCACCACCGCCACCACCCTGAGCCCCGGGCCATAGTAGATGGCCAGGGCATCCCAAGCTTTTTGCAGGGCCCCAGAGGTAGCACGGCCTATGGACCTAGGGCCAGGAGAGTGGGTGAAGGTGAAGGTGTTGGTCCTGAACCCGAAGCATGTAAAAGGTTCGTAGGGTGATGCGTCGGGATTTCAAAGATGCAAAGTAAAGTCTCCATGGTCGCGCTTCAGAGACAGTCTTTCAGGGTGATGGCACAGCTTCGCAATCGTGAACCGTCCTTCCTGAGCACCCCCATGGTTAAGGTGCAAGATGCCGTGAGGGCCAAAAAACAACCGAACACTGTTTTTTGAAGTGAATGTGCAGGAGCTTCAGTGCAGGATCTTGAGCGCAAAGCGTTATAGCTGCTTCTCTGGGATTGATTGCAGGCAGAAAGCCAGTGTTGCTGTGGGGTCCGTTTTGGCCTGCTGCCATGCTTAGAACAAAATGCCTCCGTCAGTGAAGCAGGTAACAAGCTCACCAGAGGGCACGGGACACACGGCATCGGTCTTGCTTTTTCAACGGTGATCGAACTCACGGGTCCCGGCCAGAGGACCATCAGTGGATCAAAGATTGTATGCTGACCAGTAAAGCTGTCTGCATAAAAAAAAAAAAAGGTCGTAGCTCAGTCCCAAGAAATTTGCATCCACGACAGACTCATTCTAGGGCTCGTGCAAGACTCAAGAGATCAAGACCCCATCCGTGCAAATGCAGAAATTCGAGTGTACCAACACCCACAACCTTTGTAATTGCTGCTGAAGATGTACAATTCCTAATACGATAACCCCACAAGGCATCAGACTATTGCCATGTACCCTATTCCCCGGGTGTCCGGAAACGGAAACAGCTGAAAAGACTGAGGCTACCACACCTTCAGCGCCCGGCGGTCGTTTTCTGAAACTAACACCTCTCAGGTAAGCTTTGGGAACAAGATCTCTTGACTCATAACGCCTGTATCCAAATGCGTGCAAGGTCTGCACAATGCTGATCTAACACTGTCAGGAATCGAGACGCGAACAGTACAAAGGCTATCAAGCAAAATGCAGTTGGGGCCATAGCCAAAGACCAGGGACTGCTGGTAAACTTAAACCTTCGGCACTTACTGGCACTTACAGCTGTCAGGCAAAGCAAATGAACTATAATGCCCCTGAGCAAAGTTGAAGCTTATGCACTGCAATGACAACACTATCTAGAATCAAGAAAAGCTCTAGAAGGGTAGAGGCTTGGCAGTTTTAATTGAGAAACTGTGAAGGAAGCTATTGGCCTTTGCCAGCGTGAACGCTCGCTTCCATCTGTGGATCTTGGCATCATCTTTTGAATATAGGTACAACCTCGGCTGAGCATGTCTTTCGGGTGGGCAAAGGCAGAGTCAGAGGGAATGCCTCAAGAAAGCCTCGGTCGCCATGTGTATCCCATGGTTTCTTTTGAAAGTTGCTTCTGGTCTGCACTTTTTGGTATTAAAAAGGATCTACAGCGCAAGAATGATGGACTTGCACAATAGAGGGTGGAAAACCTAACACCGTCCGCCTCAGGGCATACTGCAATGAAGTTCATTTAAGGTTATAAGGCACGCCACACTTGTGGAGGCTCCTATATGCATGCTAGTTTGTCAGGACTGCATTTATCATCATACCTCGGCTGGCATTGTGGAGCCACATCCTCCAAAGCAAAACTGACCGGGTTGCGTCTCAACCTTGAGGTTGGCCTCCAACAACCAAACATGCCAAAGGCCTTGCCATGGTGGCTTCTTTACAAAGTGTATGCGGACTGTGGGACACCGCTTCAATGATCCAATAGCGTGGTTTTGAGAAAAATCTCATACTCGAAGAACCGGCACACAACAAGCCTTGTTTCACTCCTGATGGGAACCTTCCCCATAAAAGCCGCGCCTGGAGCTGGAGAAAACTCCGAAAACAGCTCAAATGTATCTGAGAACCAACACGCATAATAGCTTAGCCGCACACATGCCAATCTTACTCGCTGCTTTCATGACCCTCCATCATGGGGCTCCCTGCGGAGACTTGGCTTGCGCCTCTCTCTCTGAACAAATTACTCGGAGGCGCATGTTGTAGCCTGGCAGGTGTCAAGGTTCCAGGGTCCAGAAGTAAGGGATTCCAAGGTTTGAGGGGTTCTGCATTGGTTGTCGGGAGCTTGAAGTTTCAGCGTCCAGGGGTTGCATGGCCTTTTTGGCATTTAGCGCTCTCGGTTTTGAGCTTAGCATCTGGATGCTCAGAGTATACCTGATTTAGAGGTGATATTGTAAGGTCTTAGTGTTCAGGACTCAGATACTGTTTCAGGCTTCTCCTCTTAGACGGCAGTAGATCACGGCAAGCCTTGCGCCCTTTGCCTTTTCGCTTTTCTTAGTGTCAGCATTCCTTTTTCCCGGCGGTTCTAGGAAGCTGCAGAGTGCAAAAAGGTCTTGCCAAATGGGGACTTCCATAGATTAGTGGCCTTTTTGCGGATACTAATGACATCCTACAATGAAGATTAATTGATTTGGGGTCTATATGATATGGGGGCGTGCTGTGTTTTTTGGAAACCCCCATATGCCTAGCTAGGTTCTGTGGCGGAACGATTTGGAGAAGCTTCTGGGCAGCGAACTCGCCACCACTCCACACAGCCAAGTGATAGCATATTTTTCAAGGGAAAACCCTTGACGCTTGGACGCACATACTTGCGAACCCACCCCGACCCCGCCTCTTCCAACAAACCCCGGCCAGAACTGACTGAAAACCTGCAAAGGCCTTACGGTCACACCGCTCCAAAGCCACTTCATCCCCTCACCTCTGAAACCAAACCCTCAAAGCCTTGTGAGGTTGTTGGGTGGACACAAATGGGTTTGAAACCAGGGAAATCCTAGGCTTTGCCTGAACAACGAGGGTACTCAAACCAGCCCCCCCTCGTACGTTCTGTCAGCTGGCCAGGAAAATGGAAACTACCATATAGTAAAAAAGGGGTCATATAAGGATAATGGAAAATAAAATGGAAACGACTATATGAAAAAATAGGGCATCCCTAGGCCAAGTTGTGGGCCCAGGGCTGGCTGGGAGTCTGTGGATGCATGGAGAGCTCAAACCCCAAAGATCTACAGACTTTGCTCATATCGGGCTTATATACATATATATGCAAGGATATGACCCCAATAATGAAGAATCAAACGGAAAATCAAATGGAATCTACTATGGTTATATTAGGGTTGTACTGCTTACGTCTCGAGACGTTCAAAAAAAACCTTAGGCCAGGACCTCACAATTCAGGACCCTCATTTTCGAAGCCCCCACATAGGCCATGGGTCAAACATCTGATGGAAGCAGCACTAAACCCATATCTAGCATGCTTGTGGGTCCTGGGCTGTCCTGGGACAAGTGTCCCTGCAAGGAGTTTACAACGTAGTTCGCGAGAAGCCTGGGAACTGCCCGGGCCTTCTTGCCATTTTGGCAGAGAAGACGTGCGCGGCTCTTCGTAAAAGCAAGTGGCATTTTTGAGACTGTAAATCGCCTGGCAACGGCAAGCTTAGCAGGATTCAGAGGTTTATAGTTGAAGATTCAACGCCTAGACCTACGTAGCAGACAGATCCAGAAAGCCATGAAAGAATAAATCCCTGATGTCATGGGACAAAACCTCGGAATGAATTGGGACAGAAGAATTCAGCGCCCTTTCAATTGCGTGTCGTCCGGTGGTTGTCAATGAACGTCCAAGACAGTGAGTCCGACATTGATGGCTGCCCAGCTGTGGAATGTTTGATTGACGGTTCCATTCAGAATCCAAATATGTCCTTTTCCTCTTGCACAGAAAATCATCTTCATTGAAAAGCTAAGACCTGCGTACTGTATACCTGTTTCTGGTCCATTGCACAGAGCCTTTCTATGAGGAGGCTTGCAAACCTTCCAAGCCTGGCCTCAAAGACCGTTGACCGCAGTACTCGCAAAACACAAACCTGCTCGAATCGCGCAAGCCCGGCCTTTACTTTTGCGTTGGGATGATGGTCCCTGTACACGAGCAGCTCGCCGTTGTCGATGATGAAGCTGCGCTCCACCCTGTAGACGAGTTAGCAGCTAAAGGCTTCAGCCCGGCGACAAAAGATCTGAAGGGTTTCGGTGTAAGGGAAGGTCCCTACAACACCATGCAAAAGAATGGATTACCTTCTGCCCCCCAAAAAAAGAAACCTCAAAACAACACACACACTGAAGCCGAAAGCTGAGCGCCGAGCCGAGCGTTGCAGCAAGGGCGGCTCTTGGAGATCTTTATCCTTGGCTGTGAGGACCTTTATATGGAAGAACAATATTAAATCAGAGTTACACGGGGGCTTTCATGGCGGGTGCTAGAAGAATGGAGACTCAAATGGAAAAGAGTATGGAAAAGATCTGGAAACTGTCACTATATGACTATTTGCAGTTGCTGATAGATGTCGGGGTTTGGGGTGCAGAAGTTTCAGTTTTAGGGTTTGAGTCAAGGGTTTAGGAGTGAACCCCCCTAAACCCCTAAACCCTAAGCTCCATGATGCCTGGTTTCAGGGATTGGTTCCAAGAGCTCCGTTGCTTTCTGGCACTAGCACCACCAGCCAACCCTGAACTCCAACTCCTGATCCCCTCACTCCCTATGATCAACCAAGGGTCAGTGTCTCGCGCTTCCGGTCTTCCCGGTGCTGCACTACATTCTGGAGTTTCTTTTGAGCTGCGCCTCAAATCAAGAGCTTTCTGGGGACGATCTTGGGCTCTTTTAGGAGCCTTCTGCAAGAACACGAGGATTCTTTGGGGATGAAATGGGCATAAAGTGGGGCTCTTCGAGCTCTGTCACCATGATCTCTTGGGAAAATGAAAGCGTCAAATTGCATCAGAAACAGATAGAGATTTTTTTGGGCTAGCTCTTGCTCTTACTCTACCTCTTGCTCTGGGTCTCACTCTTCTTCCTACTTTTCTCTAGTCGGTTCCCACATTCGCTGCAAAAGAACCCTTCGACGACGGTCAAATGGGGTTTCCAGAAATAAGGACCCAATATGAACTCCCAGAAGGGATCCCAAATTTGGGACCCCCAATTTGTAGAAATCCATATTACCGTCGGGGAAGCAGGAGCCAGCTTGGTGAACACACAACCTAAACCGCATGGAAGCATCAGCGCTAGGATCATGGTGCAATGGGGCACTGGAAATGTGATGTTACCCCTCCGAGGGTTATCGGCACCCAACTGATGGAAGCATATCATGAAAGCAAGGCTAAGCCCGAGACGTCCCCCTGAAGGATGACCCCAAGCAATTCACCCCTTTAAACTGCAGTGTATCTCTCGGGTCGTGAAAAACTACTTCCTTCTATTAACGTGTACAACCAGTGCGGAACACAAAAGCCAGTCCTTGTCAGGCTTGAGATTGATCATTCACCAAGACTCAGTGGTTCACTACCAGTGACGAATAGGAAATGAAGAAATGGATATGGTGGCTATCCAAAGGGTTTATTCGCAGACTATACGGGGCCTTTTCCTCCCTTGCATACTAACCACCCAAAAGGAAAAGCCAGTGGTGCCTGTCACGGTGAAGCGTGCCTGTCCTTCAAGCAAGCTCTTGATCTTTCCCTGGCAGCTGGGCTAGCTGATTCTACATTCAGATTACACAGGACAAGCTTTCAAAAGCCATGTTGCGCTATCTGTTTTTGAAGGCAGAAGTACAGAAACTGCTTGAAAGAACCCTCTCACAAGATACCGATCCAGAAACTATCGCTTTCCCCTGCCCTAATACAAAAGCGCGGGCTCCCAGAATTCCAATTTCTGACATTTTCCACAAGATTGCTTTTAAAAGGGCCACGCCTGAAGTTAATTACGGCTCTCCCTAGCATGACTGTTACGGGTTGCGGATCTCCTTGGTTTCCGAGATTTTGATTATGTTTGAATGGGTCCTATTAACAAACTGACATAAAATCTGAAAATAATGTTACACTTAGTTGGTTGTATTGCGATGTTGAATGCTTTTGAAGACTCTACTTACATTTTCGTTGAAGTTCGATTGATTTTAATCAGCTTCTAATTAGATTTCGATTAGATTTCTATTGGAGAAAAATGTTTGTTGGTTTTATGTGGATTTTAGTGGCATCTTAGTTGGTTATAATCTATTTTATTACCTTTCTTCCCGATTTTCATTAGACTACTCTCTTTTCCTCACCTAATGCTCGGCTCGTACGATAAATACACCTTCCCCCCACGAAATGTCAAACACGGGTCGGATTACATACATAAGGGTGGAGGGGCCGTTTGAGATGACATTAGGGTGGAGGGGCCGTTTGATATGGCGGGGAAAGGATTGAGATGAATTCGCCCTGTATCCTCATCTGTACGGCAAGAACCCAAGACCCACCTGGATCTCTTCCGTTTCGGGCGCGCTGTAGGCATACGTCATGGACAGCTCTTTGGCGTCCAAAAGCCTGATCTGCTCTGCGGCGATCATCATTGCCTGCAGCCAGTGGGACTCTAAAAGCCAAAGGTCTATGCTCTGCGCTGAAAAACTGGGATCCTTTAGCTGTCCATGAGTTTGGGACATCTGCACATCGCATCTCCACTCCAACTGGCCCCAGGCAGTCCATCTTTCCTCACGCTCATTGTCAGTCATAGGCTCCAGGAGATCAGCAGATGAACAGTCTTTGAAGAGGGCACAAGTGCAAGGAAGCGAAGCAAAACTGCGAAAATGTTGCGCTTTCAACATGTTTTTGTCAAAGCATGTCTAGATCGGATGTCCGTGTGCAGTGGTGGCACTATTGTCTGTTTCGCAGTTGCCGGTATCCTACATGGTTGTGGTTGTGTTACTATCATGCTCGTCACTGCAAACGGCAAACGCCATTAACCTTTTAAGCTTCTTGCTCGCATCGTTCTTCAATGGTGGTACGTCAACTAATGCTAACCGAAGAACAACCCCAAACGTAAACACCAGTACAAACGATATGCATCCCTGCCTGCTTCACTCCTTTGTGATACGAGCCATCGCCCCTGAGCCAGCCCTGCCAGGCATGGGTACCAGGGTCTAGCGCGGGATGAGGTCTTCAGTCTTAGTTTTGTCGTTGAAAATATGTCTAAAGGATGCTTGGTCAGTATCCTGCTGCTTCAAGCTTCCAGCTTCTACTTCCCAGTTTGGAAAAATTTGGATTCCGATCTGATCCTTGCCACTCTTGTCCCATCAGTAACCAGCGACCAGCCCAAGAACCATCCACCACCAGAGGGAGTCCGCTGTCTGCTTTCTGAAGCAAATCTACAAAACCTAAGAGCCTGCTACACTGGGGCCCTTCAGACTAAATCAGGATCCCCTTTTGGGGGCTCTACATACTTAATAGGGATCCTGATCAAGTAAGGTCTACATTGGGCCCCCTGTTTATGGAAGCTACCACATGTCAAGCACGGCCTTGCTGATCGTTTTCTGGGGACCTCCATCTGCGAGGCTGATCCGTGTCGCCTGCATCTTGCACATGATGGGAAACATGTTTGCTGCCTTCCAACGAAATTTCAGGCGCCCTTTTTAGCAGCTCCTATCATAAACACTATAGTTTTTGGTTCGCCTGTTATGGAACCCTACTTTAAGCTTTGGGGATGGGGGTGTGTTTCATGAAGCGAACGAGATCATTTGTCTTCCATGCTGTTCTTCTGTAGGCCATTCAAGGTTGCAGGGGATTGCTTCGCTGTAAAAAGACTTGGTGACGTCAAACGCACTTAGCTTAAGATACTTCCCGAGTGTATTAAACGAATTCTGGGGATATTGCTGTCTTCGATAACAGTTCTACGGATCTACTGCAACGTACGCTCAAAACACGAATTCCTGAAATCCGGCCACCAAGCCCTTACTGCAATTCAGAATTCCAGTAGGCGCACCTGTGTTTGCACCCGAATCATTTACTTTCAATTTGCAAGGGCGACGCAGGAACAGCACTGCACTGGAAGCGCAACAAACTAGAAATGAAAAAATCGAACAATCAATTTTTGCTGGATGTCTCCTCCGCTGGATGTTGCATCATTAACATATTGCACTTCATGGCTGGGGATGGACGCGTAGGTTGAGGCGAACGATGATGATGACGATGATGATGATGCTGATGATGATCCATCGGAATCCTCATCCGCTGCGCAAGCATCCTGCCTGCCGCTGAGGTCGAAGATCAACGGGACCAGTACTTGTTCCTCAGCAAGGCACACTCTGCAGCTCGCCCGGACAAACTGATGCCATACACTCTGCTCCACTGCGGCACCCGCACCCTCCTTTGCGTTATCAATATGATCGTGTAAAAATTCTTGGATGCCTGCTAAGGAAAGTTTGCCTAGGAGCACAAGAGCCATGATGATGCAGCAAGTTCTGAGCCGGTAACGTAGCACCAAAGGTCGTGCTTCCTGCCGCTCGGCCATTGCTAGGAGAGCAGGATGCCCCTACAACATAGACTTTTGGGCCAGCAAAATTACGAGAGCTGCCATTCTTGCTGAACAATGGCACAACTGCACCAACAGCCTCAATATCAATGATGGCATGGTCAAGAACAACGGTAAACCAAAAGCATCCAAAAGCAAATATGAAGTCCAACACCACTTTATGCCGTTGCTCTGACGAGAAACAAACTGTTCAAAACAAAACAACCAGCAAGTTGTTCGTGCTGAGCAGCAAAAACATCATCGACAAGTTGCCTGAAAGGATTGCATGCGCTTCGCAAAACCCATACGCACAATTGCAGTTACATCAAATTTGATTCTCAACTGCAAATGTCCACACATGGTTAATACGGGATTTGAAAAACATGGACGAACATTTTGATTACAGTTTCATTCTCTATTTGCCAAATTGTTTTTTATCAGGAACGCGATCGGCACTGGAGACGAAAAGCTACATCAGCAACATCTCCACAATTTTAACAATTCCCATTCCCCGAACTCAAGCCGAATAAGCTTGGTAGGGTCTGATGGAAAACACAACGTATCCCTGGTTTTGTGTGGCGTGACAACACGAACCCACACTCAAAAGCGCAGCGACACCTTTCAGACATGGGACTTTGCTGCAACACCAAATTTTCGCATCTCGAATAAACGATAATAAAAAGAATTTCCCGTCAAGGCTCGCCGACTGTAAAATCGCGAACAGACTCTTGCAGCAGATGAGACGTTGTAGTTTGCACATCACCCGTGTCCATGTCATAAACATTTTTCACGGCAAACATTTTCGCAAAGTACATGCAAAACTCTGCTCTTGCAAGATCACAATGGAATCCGAAGTTTACCTGAGCCTCACGGCGGATCTCGAGAACAAGAACCAGC